TTATATTTTTTAGACCAGATAGTGTAATTGAATTTTAATTAAAATAATCATCATATTTTATTTAATAGAAATTCTCTTAAAATTTCATCAAGTAAATTATCTTACGAAGAGTTATGATAATTTTAACTTAAAAATTTTGATCATCAATTGTAAAATATATTTTATTGTTTATATTTATTTTTCGTATCAGCACTAAAATATTTTATAGTATTAATATGATTAATCTATTCTTTGTAAATTTTTTCTAAATTTTTACAAGAATTTGTAATGATGATACTACAATTCTCTTCCTTTAATTCTTTGAATATTTACATTTTAGATTTTTTAGCAAATATCATTTCCTGATTTCCGAAATGATTATAAAAAAATAATAAATCTTTAAATAGAATTATCAATTTTTTTTTTATTTATTATCATTACTAAAACTATTCTTTGTATATATTCACTTTAATCTTTATTTAATCTAATACTTTTGGTAACTTTTCCTATTGCTTATTTTCTTTTTTTATATTATACATGTATATATTTTTTCATTTTAGTATATCTAATAAGTTTTTTGCAATTTTCTTAACATACCCAAATATAGACTGAAAATTTCCAAATTTCTGAGAAAATTATTATTTGCTTTAGAGCTTAAAAATTTACTTATGTACATTTAATTTAAAGGTATTATATTAGATCCTATAATGTCTAAACTGAGAAATCTTACTTTATATATTTTTTAAAATAAAGAAAAAATTATAATATTTTGTAAATATTAAAGACAAATGTTATTTTTTTAAAAAATTTTCTTCATAATTATAAATAGAAACGTATGTCTGACTACTAATATTTTAAATTTTAATTTTTAAGTGCTAAATAATATAATTAAATTCTTTTTATAATAAATTTAACAAAAATATCTAAATGAGATAATAAATCATTTTATCTGAATCCTTATTTTTTCTACTTATTAAGTTATTTCTCCCTATATTTTTTATTATTTCTTCATTTTTTTTTATATTTTTGTTAACAAACATAATTTATTTACTAAAATAACACTTATCTATTAAATGAGTTATAACATTTATTTAATGTCCCATTTCATTTATCATTTGTTTCTTGATTTCCCTTTATATTTTGGGAATTTTTATAAGTATTATATTTTCTTAATTTCATTTAATATCTAAACCTTTTTATGTATTTTTTTTTTTTTTTTAAATATATTATTTTTATAATATTCATTTATATTTTTACAATTAAAATCCAAAAATTTTAAGTTCCTTTTTCTTATCCTTGTCACTATATTGGTATGAGAAATTGTAACCTCTAATTTATGATATATTTTTATATTTTTTTTTTATTTTTTTTTAGATAAATAATTTTCAATTTTAATGAAATTTATTTTAGTATATATTTAGTACGAAATAATGTATACAACTATTTAAGATTCAAACAAAATAAAATATTTGATTTAATTAATTTTTTCAGTAATTAATTCTATTAATTTACATATTTAAGTAATTTATAAGGAATTAAAAAACTCAAAAAAAAAATTTATATTATGAATATTATTATATATTTCATAAAAATTATCAGTATTATTAAAATAATATATAAAAATATGTTTAACAAATTAAACACTTTAATGTACACTTATATATACACATATTTATGATAATAAATATTTTTACAAAAATATATATTTATATTTTTCAATTCACAAAATAAATAGTTTTATGAAAAGATTGTGTTAAAAATTAATCAATACTTATTTTAAGTAAAAACAATGAAAAAATCTAAAAAATATTTTTTAGTTTTACACTATTTTAAAAGATACTACTTCTTAAAGAATATTACTTTAAATAACTTTAAAAGATAAAAAATATTTTTTATTAATTATTTCTTATTATTTTTTTTTTTATTTTTTGAGGATCATTATTTTTAATATAAATATTATAAATAACTTGCTAATATATATTTTAGATTAAAAAAAAAAATTTATCTATATATATATTACTAAAATAATTTTGTAAATATGGTAAGTTTTCACTTAAAAAAAAAAAAAAAAAGAAATTTAAATCTATAAACCATTTCGTCAATATTTTTTTTTATCTAACTTAAAATGTGTTTATATATGTAATTTTTTTTTTGATATATAATAAGGAATAATTATATAAACAACATTACAATTATAAAATCTATTAAGCAATTATATATACACCATAGACAATTATAGATAAATAATATATGAAATAAAATATATATTTTATAAGATTAATAAAAAAAAATAAAATTAAAATTATAATAAAAATAAATATGAAATAGATAGAATAAAAAAGAAAAAAAAGTATTTTTAGATATTAATTATGTAACTCATTTTTTTTTTTTTTTTTCAAATTTATAATGTATAATAAAAAAAAAAGGAAAAAAAAATTTTTTTATAAATTAAATAGAAAAATAAAATAATAAAAAAAAATGATAATGTAAATATAGAGCAATAAATAAGTTTCTCCTTTATTTTAGATATTTAGAAAAAAAGAATCAATTTATCCAATGATAATAATCCATTAAAGAGAATGAACAAATGAAGTATAAAATTAAAATATAATTAATAGAATATTTTTTTTTATGTAAATAAAAATTATAATTTTTACTATATTATAAAAAAAATATAAGTGTGTATATAATATTTTAAAAGTACATAAATATAAGTAACATTGTATATTTATTAAAAAATGTTTATATATATCAATTTATATATAAAGACAATTCTTTTTTTTTTTTTTTTTTTTTTATGGAAAAAAATAAATATAGAAGAAACTAAACAGAATAGATATTTGTGACTTTATTAAATGTAAATTATATATTTTATTTTTTTATTTTAATTCTTTTGTATATTACCTAATAATGTTTTCATTTAAAAAAATATAAAAAAAAAAAAAAAAGTCTAATTATACATTCATAAATGATAATTACATAATATTTAAATTAGTTTGTTTTAAATATTTCTGTTAAAATATACTTAACTGCTTAAAGTAGAATTCTATATAATTTATATAAAGATAAATATTAATATGTGAAATAAAAATATTAAATTAAGAACGAATTTTTATGAGATTTATATAGGATATATATTTTTCCTTCTATAACTTGTAAACTTCCTCACGTTTATTACTTATTATATTCATTAAATATATTTCTTACTGTTAAAAAAAATTTTATTATAAATTAAATTTGTTTGGTTTTTTTCATCAAAAATTATAATGCAATATAAAATATATTAAAATTTTTAATGAACATAATAATATCCTTTTTCTTATTATTTTATGCATTCTACAAAAACTACATATATAATTTAGTAAGACTAATATATTTTTCATATTGCCATTTGAATTACATTTAAGATTTTTTATTATCACAGTTTCAAAAATTTAGAAAATTATATTTTAAAAAATATGTCTTTTTAATGAAAATTTCAATATAATTTTTAATAGATTTTTCTTAAAACTTTTAGCTTTTATAACATATTTTTGTGTTTATGTATAATTTATTATTATATTTTTATAAGAATTAGCAATACAACTAATATTTAATACATCTTTATCTTAAATAAAAAAAAAATAAAAGAAAAAAGAATGTCTATAATGTAAAATTTTTATAATTTCAGTATTTTTAATAGTTATATAATTTTGAATTCTTCAAGTAAAATATTCGATGAAATACTATTATAAAAAAAATATGGGTTTTCACTAACACAATTTTTTTATATTAACATATATAATATATATACGTTTCTTTAATTGTATTTAATCTTTATAAAAACAAGATATTTATATTTATGAAAGAAAGAATAAATGGAGAGGATATTATATTATTTTTTTTTTTGTATTTTTCAAAGTTAATAAAACATAAAAAACAACATATGTTAGAGGTTTTTTAATGTCTTAATTCTAAATTAAAATTTCAATTTTCTGATTTTTTCTTTTATAACTATAAAGAAATAAAATTTGTTTTTTGAATACTTTTCTACGAAAACAGAACTATCTGATAGCACGAAGAAAAGTTCCACAAGAAATTATTTTTTTTTTTAATATGTATAAAATTAATAATTTACATTAATATGAATATAAAAATAATTGTACTGTGCTCTTTTTACACATATATTATTTTCATTTTCATAAAATATAATACTCATCTATAACAAAACACATTTATTTTAAAATTGTCATAAATAATTAATCATTTCTGTAATATAAATGATAAATAAATTTTCTTATTTTATAGTTATTATTATAAAAAAAAATGTAAAATTAAAATGGTAAATTAAATTGCAAATATTAAGGTTATTTATTTTTAATAATTATAAATTTTGTTTTTATTTTTTTTTAAATAATAATGTAATATATCTTAAATATTTCGTAAAGAGCATTTTTACTTATTTCAACAATAAAGGTAAAATAATAATGAAATATGTTTCTTCTTTTATTGCTATTTTTTTTTTTTTTTTTTTAATTATATGATTTTTACAGAATATCATAATAATAAATTTTTTTTTCTACTTTTAACTTTTAATTATTTAATCTATTTTTTTTAAAACAGAATAATTTATTACTTACACAATTTTCATAATAATTTTCTTTTAGAATTATTTCATCTTTTTTCATAATGTAATATTACGTATATATATATATATATATATAGGTATATAAATACTTTTTCAATAAAAATATTTTTTGAAAAATATATAATTTAAAAATTTTCACATTAAATATGCATATATATAACTAAAATTTTTTAAAAATAATTATTATTTTTTTATTTTTTTTTTTTTTACGTTTATATATGATTATATATGAAAAACTTTCAACTTTTCTTTCCTTTAATTTCAGAAGAAAAGATAAAATATTTTAAAATATATATAAAAATAAAATTTGCATAAAACAATTTTTCTTTTATATCTTTTTTTTTTTTTTTAATAAATAGTTTAGAAGAATTTATGTGTCCTTTTTAAAATAAATATGCAAGAGGAAACTGACACTCAATCAAAGCCATTGGATGATGAAGATATAAATATATTAAAATCATATGTAAAAAAAAAAAAAAATATATATATATATATATATAATTATATATATGTAAATAATATATATATTTTTTATAAAATAACAAAAGTGTTATTTAATTTGTGTTTAAGAAATAATAAAAAATCAAACTCATAAGTGTACATTTTACAATAAAAATAAATTAGAAAGAAGTATTTATCTTATTTTTATTAATATTGTATTAATTTAATAAGCTATATATGTATATATATATATATATATATATATATATATATTTTCATATAGGGTTCAGGACCATATTCAAAGAGTATAAAAAAAGTAGAAGGTGATATATCAGGATTACTAACAAATATAAATAAGTTATGTGGAGTAAGAGAAAGTGATACTGGATTATGTTTACCTAATCAATGGGATTTACAATTAGATAAGCAAATGTTAAATGAAGAACAGCCATTGCAAGTAGCTAGATGCACAAAAATTATAAATGCAGATACGGATCAAACAAAATATATAATTAATGTAAAACAAATAGCAAAATTTGTTGTAGGTTTAGGTGATAAAGTTGCTCCAACAGATATTGAGGAAGGTATGAGAGTTGGAGTAGATAGAACTAAATATAAAATACAAATTCTTTTACCACCTAAAATTGATCCTACAGTTACTATGATGACTGTAGAAGAAAAACCAGATATTACTTATAATGATATTGGTGGATGCAAAGAGCAATTAGAAAAGTTAAGAGAAGTAGTAGAAATGCCATTATTACAACCAGAAAGATTTGTAACTCTAGGAATTGATCCTCCTAAAGGGGTTTTATTATATGGACCTCCAGGGACAGGAAAAACTTTAACAGCTAGAGCTATTGCCAATAGAACAGATGCCTGTTTTATTTGTGTAATTGGTTCTGAACTTGTTCAGAAATATGTTGGAGAAGGTGCAAGGATGGTAAGAGAATTATTTCAAATGGCAAAATCAAAAAAAGCATGTATTTTATTTATTGATGAAGTAGATGCAATAGGAGGTTCAAGAGGAGATGAAAGCGCACACGGAGATCATGAAGTACAAAGAACTATGTTAGAAATTGTTAATCAATTAGATGGGTTTGACAATAGAGGAAATATAAAAGTTCTTATGGCTACAAATAGACCTGATACATTAGACAGTGCACTAGTAAGACCCGGAAGAATTGACAGAAAAATTGAATTTAGTTTACCAGATCTTGAAGGTAGAACACATATATTTAAAATTCATGCCAATACAATGAATATGAGTAGAGATGTTAGATTTGAACTATTAGCTAGATTGTGTCCTAATAGTACTGGATCTGATATTAGAAGTGTCTGTACTGAAGCTGGTATGTTCGCTATTAGAGCAAGAAGAAAAACAATCACAGAAAAGGATCTTTTATTAGCTATTAATAAAGTTATACACGGTTGCAAACAATTTTCTGCAACAGGGAAATATATGGTTTATAATTAATGTCATAAATAATTATACACATAAATAAATATTCTAGTAAATGTAAAATAAAAAAATAATATTCGTAAAAAGAAATAAATTTTATTATTTAATAATTCTTTTCACCGTAATAATTATAAAAATAATTTCATAAATTAGTATATATATGCATTATATGTTTCTTTTTTTTTTTTTTTTTTTTTTTTTTTTTTTTTTTTTGAAAAACTAAAAATATTTTAATTTTTTTTTTATTAAATAAAATTAGATTTTATGAAAATATTTGTGTTTTTAACCATATCCATATATTCTTTTTTTAACTGTACATTTAATGAAACACCAAAATTTAATAGTCTTAAATTTTTTATAGTATATAAAAATTTATTAATAGTATTAACCAGAAGTATAGATCCGTTTTTCTGAATCGTATAAATGGAGAAAAATTAATTATATATATATATAGAAAAACCTTTTTTATTATTTTATGTATTATATATAAAATACACAAGATTTAAGATATTTTTTCATAATTTTTTTATTAGCAAAATAATATTTTCTATACAGAAAATAGAATAACCGTAATTTATTAAAAAAAAAAATTTTTTTTTTTTTTGTTCTTAATAAAATATAACTATTAATTTCTATATTTTTTTATAAAAATATATAATACATAAAAAAAAAATATATATATATATACGTGTAACATTTTAAATGAATATATATTTTCTTATATTAACTTTAGGTAATCACATCTGGATTTAAAGTAATAAATTGAAAAAGAAAATATACATTCATATTTCTAAATAGAAAATTAAAATAAACATTGTAAATTAATGACGTAACAATATATATGAAAGAAAATAAAAATTTTATCATAAAAATTTGTTATTTTATTTTAAAGTAATAAAGAACATATATTTATTAAAAAATAAAAAAAAAAAAAAAAAAAATGACAATAAATAACCATATGTCATAATACAACTAATTTAATAGAAAAAAAAATTCATTAATATAGTAATAATAATATAATTTTATCATACTTATCATTATGATCATTAAAATTTTGACACATTTCTTCTTCTTAAAAATTAAATTTTATAAGAAATATATATATATATATGTACTTATGTTTAATCTATTATATTATTTTTCCAATATATATAATTTTTTAATTTAATAAAACCTAAAATAAAAAAGCAATAATATTTTAAAATATAGCATCTATATTTTTGTTGGAGAATAAAAAATTCTATAACAAATTTATATTCATTGTAATTCATTAAAAATTCTGTCTGTATATTATGGTGTTTTATATATAATTATTGTAATTTAGTATTTGATTTTAAAATTTTTATTCATCAAGAGAAATATGTATATTTTTTCTTTCTTTTTCTTTTTCTTTTTCTCATTTTTATTTATTCTATTTTTTTTTTTTTTTTTTTTTGCTGAGCGGAAGGGAATTTTATTTAAAAATATATGCTCATATTATTGATGAATTTATTTTCTTTAATGATTTAAGTTATTTTTATATTCATGTGATCTTTTATGACATTCTTAATTGATAATCTCCATTTTGAGTTATATATCTAACCCATGGTAAAGCTTGATAACCACTTTTTTCAATAATTTTTAAATATCTGACAGTAATACCAGACACAGTAAAATAAGGTATTTCAAATTTTACATTTACTGGTCTTTTATAATATAAGTCTTTATTTTCATTAGATACAATTGATGGTAATCCAAATTGAGCATTCATAATATATTCTTTTTGACCTTGAAATTGCTTAATTTTCCATATTAAAATATCTTTATCTGGATAATATTTTACATTTCCTATATATGTTTGAAAATGTGGTGAATCCACATCTGCAGGGACAGGAAAATGAAATTCTACATTATTTGCAATACTTTTGTTTTTAAATTGTGATTTTGCTTTAACAATGTATTCAATTTTTGTTAAAGATTTTTTAGAAATATTAATATCTAACCAAAATAATGGTTTTACGTGAGTACTTAAACGATAGGTCATTAAATTAAATATCCCATCTGGAGGTATAAAAGATATAGTTCTATCATTTTCAAATTTTGATAATCGTACACACTGATGAAATTTTATATCTTCTAGTTCTACTAATTTTGCTTTACTATTTATATTATTTGATGAATTCGGATAATTATTTAAGTTTTTATTAAATAATAGTTTATCATTTAAACCCAGTTTTAATTCAGGCATACCAGATAAATAAGATTTCATTTTTAAACAACCTAAAATCTCACTTCTTAAAACTGTTCCATTAGATGATATTATAATATTTAAACTTTCAATTACATCTAAAAATATCTCATTTTTTTTATATTTTATTCCTTCATTTCTCCATGAGACAGAATTAGTTATAGCTGATGGTATTTTAATATTATTAACTGTTAATTGGTGTGCTTTATTTTTTATGTACTCTCTTAATATTTTTACTTCACTTAATTGCGGGAATCCATTATCAATCATTTCATCTAGTAATTCATAAGTAATAACAAAATTGTCCTTTATGCTTTCTTCTTCTAAAACTTTAAAATAATCTTTTAGAACTTGTATTAATTTATATAAAAATGTTATAATTAAAGTTGCATTGCTATTTTTTCTAGTTACAGCTAATATATAAATATTATTATGAGCAACCCAGCAATATGTTAATCCATTTACATGAAAGATAGGTTTTATTAAATTGTCTTCTTGGTCAATAACGCAATTATAAAATACTTCTGTTAAATTTACATTCACTTCTCCTCTATAATTTCTATTTATTATTACTTTTCCTTTTAAATCTATTATGAATATAGCACTTATGCACGCCATTTTTACTTTTTTTTTTTTCTTTTATATAAAAACATATATATTCCTATATTAATTTATATGAGTTTCTACAAAGAAATATTTTATTTTTTTATTTTTCTTAACGTTATATAAATAAAATTCAAAAGAACTTTTGTTTATATATAGCATAACATTTTTAAATATTTCAATTTTTAAAAAAGAATGTAAGGATTTCAAATATTACATATGGAAAAAACATATAAACATAAAATAAAAACAAAAAAAAAAAACTAAAGGATATGTAATAGTAACGCAAATTTTATAGTTACAGCAATTATGTAATTTAAAATAATTCTTATATTATTTTATCATATCTATGATATTACAAAAAAAAAAAAAAAAAAAAAAAAAAAAAAAGAAAAAAAGAAGAAAAAGAAGAAAAAAAATATGTAATTTTTAAAAAGACTTTTAGTTCTATGCATATTAATATAATTTATTTATATTTATCTATAATTATATAAAAAAAAAAAAAATATATTTGTAAAATAATAGTACATAAGTTTACGAATGCAAATTACTTTTTATTTCAAATAAAGAAAAATATATTTTGAGCATATTTTATAATACTTTTTTTTTTCTACCTAATATTACAAAATATATTTTTGTATTTTATAAAAATTTCATATTATATTTAAATTTTATCTTAATTTTTTATGAGTTCATTTTTTTTTTTTTTTTTTATTATAATTAATACATCTTGTGTAGCACTTGTGTATACATAAAAAAGGTTGTGTATGCTTTAAAATATATGCATAATTTAAAAAAAAAAATTTCGAAGCTTAAGAATAGAATAATTAAAAACACTTTTAACAAAATAAAAAAATTATATTAACTTAAAAATTAAGATTAAAATATATTAGAATATTTAATTTTCTTTTTATTTTATTATTTATTATCATATATACAATTTAAAACATTTAACTAATTTTTTATCATAAGAAAATACGTACTAACTTTTGCTTATATATTTTATATACATACATATTAATGTTTATTTTTCCTTTTATATTATTTTTTTTTAATATAGATAAATTCTTTATAGATATCTTTAAGGTATATATTTAATAATAATTTAACCTTTAAGTTATTTAAAAGAAAAAATTCATATTATAGGAATTTACTTTTTTTTATGCCTATTATTAATAATGTTCTATTTGTATAAATGAAATTTTTAGTAGAATTTTTATATTTAATTTTATTAAACTTTAAGAATTTTTATATTAAGTAAAGTTTTTTATTTTTTTAAAAAACAAAATTCTGTAATATTTGAAAGGCATTACCCTTTTCTTTAAAATCATTCTTATATATATACACATTTATATATACATTTTAATTTTTTCCACATATGAATTAAAAATAATAAATATTATTATTATTAAGAATTATAAGAAAACTCTTCCTTTTATTATTAAACATTTAAAGATTAAATATTTTATTTTCAACTTTTTTTCTTAAATTTTATTTAAAAAAAGTTATTTGTTATAGAAAAGAATAAAAAGGTTTATTTAAATAAATATAACTGAGCACAATTAAAAATTGTAGATATTAAAAAAAAAAAAAAAAATGAAATACCGATTAAAAAAAAAATAAAAACAAAAGGAGAAAGTTTTATTAGTTTTATTTATATATTTATATTTAATATGAATTTTCAAAAATGAAAAAATGTATATAATAAATTTAATATATGTAAATTAAAAAAAAAAAGGAATCACATAATAGTTTTTATAAATAAATAAAAAAATTATATTGTTTTTATATTCTTTCTGTATCAAAGTATTATTTTAATAAAAAATTTTTATAATAATTTGTTATTTACTTATTCATTCTTTTATAAGGCATTAGCACCAGATATAATTTCAATAAGTTCTAAAGTGATTTTTGACTATATAAAAAAAAAAAAATGAAAAATAAATGAAATAAATAAAGTAAAAAATAAGTACTCTAATGTATTATCGATAATAAAATAAATAAAAAATTATTTATTTTTTTTTTTTAATTACTTGTCTAGCTCTATTATATTTTAAAGATAATGAATTTAGCATTTCCGTAGCATTTGAAGAAGCATTATCCATTGCTGTCATTCTTGCAGACTTCAAAAAAAAAATATAAATATATATATATAAAATAAATAAAAAATACCATATAAATATATATATATATATATAAATATATATGGGAATATACACACATTATACGAAAAAATAATTAGAAGAATAGTCATATTATTAAAATAATTATTTTTTATAATTATATATTATATTTTTTTTAAATTACTTGTTCAGCTGCTAAGTTTTGAATTATACAATTATACAACAAAGAAGTAAAGTAAAATTCATATATATCTTTAAAAATATAATCTAATTCTGGTTCAAACTCAAAAGTAGCTAGTTCTCTTTTATTCATCTTGTTTAATTGTTTTTGAGAAAAAATACTTAAGATTTTAGTATCAAATGATATAGCTGATTTAAAGTTATTATAAATAATTAATAAATTACTGTGATTTTTATTCATTATTCGTTCAGCTATATATGAACAAGTAACAAAATTTATGGGAATTTTATTATATTCATTATAAATAGCTTCAAACTTATCTTTATGTAGTCTACTTAAGGCTGATCTTATTTTTTCTCCTATTCCATATATGTATATTTTATTTGGTGTAATATTATTTACAGTTTCATTATCTATATTTTCTCTTTCTAAAAGTTTTTTACATATTCTTGAAACTGATGAATTTACACTTCCACATAATCCTTTATCCGATGAAATAGCTATTATAGCTAAATCTTCATTTTTTTTATGAATTTCTAGCTGATTCAATCTATTAAATAAGTCGGTTAAGGGTGTAGAGAAATGTGAACAATTTTCTAACCTCTTTTGATCACCTTTAAACTTAGATGCAGCAACCATCTTCATAGCTTTAGTAATTTTTTGAATAGATTTAATTGATTTCATGCGAAGTGATAATGACCTTAAATTATCACTGGCAAAATTTTTTTTCAAAATTAAATTAAAATTGCTCAAAGTATATTTTTTGATGCAATTCATATTTACTAGTTTGTTTTCTAACATTCTATTATACAAAAAGAAAAAAATAAATATAAAAAAAAAAAAAAAAAAAACCTATGTAATAATATATAAAATTATATTACTAAAAAAATTAAAAAAACATTATTATTTTTATTAAAGATTTGGTTAATTTTTTCTTTCTACTTTTTTCAAATATAAAATTGCGTGTTTAAAAATGTAACTTTTATTTTTTCTTTTCTTTTATTAATATTAAATGAATTATAAAATTAAAGTTTAATAAATAAATTCAACAAAAAAAATTATATAAAAGTACAGATATGTTATAAACATAATATATATTTATATATTTTTGAATATTTTTCTATGTCAACAAAAATATGGAAAACAAAGAAATAAATATTAAATTTAATTTATTTTTCATAAATTATTTTAAAATATTTGTTTGAAATAAATAAAATACATTATTTTAATATAACATAATAAGAAATACAATCCTAAAAATTTTTAATTAAAATAAAAAAAAAAAAAAAAAAACAGTATATAATTAATTTTTCTTACATTTATATATGTAAATTGACTTAATTTTTGAAACGAAATAAAAAATACTTAAAAAATGTTCATATAATATTAATATAATTATATAAATAATAATTTTAAAAATTATATCTCAAATCAAAAAAAAAAAAAACAAAGAAAAATAAGGATTAAAGTTAATGATAAAATGTTACTTAAAAAAATAGAATAAAAATAAAATAAATAATAATTTTTATGATTAGATGATAAATTATTAAAATTTAAAAATTTGGTATTATTATTTTATGATACATTGAATAATAAATTAAACTATTACAAATTTAAAAAAAAAAAAAAAAAAAAATGTATAATTTTTTATTTTATTTTAATTAAAAGATATTAATGAAGATTAACTTTTAAATAACATCTCATGTAAAAAACTTATATTTTTTATTAAATATATACATATATGCATATTACGCTTCTTTATTTTCTTTTAAAATGTCCGACTGTTTAGAAGTATCAGCCACTGACGTTATAAGGCTAATATTACAATATTTAAAAGAAAATAATTTATTAAGAACTTTTTATGTATTGCAAGAAGAAAGTAATATAAAATTAAATGCAATAAGCAATGTAGACGTTTTAATTAGTGATATAAATAAAGGAGATTGGAAAAACGTCTTATTTAATATAACAACTATTGATTTATCAGATGATACGTTAATGAATTTATATGAACAGTTAATATGTGAACTTATAGAATACAAGGAAAAAGAGCTAGCTGAAAAAATTATGAATGAATGCATAGTATTTAAAAGGATGGAAAAAAAGTATACAGATAAATATAAAAAATTAATGGATCTTTTAAATAGTAATAATATAAATAAAAGTATTTTATATGATGGATTAACAAAAGAGGAAAAAAGAAATAATTTGTGCATAATGATTAACAATGAAATAACGTCTTGTGCACCTTCCAGGTTATTAGCTTTAATAGGTATGGCATTAAAATGGCAAAATTATCACAATATAATTAAGAACAAAAATGGGAAGTTTGATATTTTTAGGAATGTTGAAAAAGATGAAATAACTACCATTGATGTATATCCAGATAAAATATTAAAGAGTATTAAATTTGGCAACGATTCAAATGTTGAATGCTGTATTTCTTCTTATAATAATGATTTTTTAATTACAGGATCATCAGATGGTTTTATTGAGATATGGAATTGGCTAACTGGACAATTAAATACTGAATTAACTTATCAAAAAGAAAATAATTTAATGATGCATGATAATCCAATTGTTAGCTTATGTATAAGTAAAGACGATGAAATTTTATTAAGTGGAGATTCAAAAGGTCTAATTAAAATATGGAGAATAAAGAATGGAGTATGTTTGAAAACAATAAGTGCACATGTACATCCAATTACATCCATTAATTTTAATAAAGATCAAACACAAATATTAACGTCTTCATATGATAATACTGTTAAAATTTTTGGATTAAAATCACTAAAATGCTTAAAAGAATTTAGAAAACATTCATCTGCTGTTCATTCTTCTATATATACTTTAGATAATTCTAAAGTTATATGCGGTACAGATGAAGGAAAAATATATGTATATAATCAGAAAAGTTGTGAATGTATATCTTCTTTTTATGTTTATTATAATATTAAAGATAACTTAATATACCCACCTGTTAACAATATTATATTAATTAGTAAAACTTTAGATGAACTAATTTTAGTTTGCACTAAATCACCATATTGTTATATTATGAATACTAAAGGAAAAATTATTAAAACGTATACGAATGTAATAGATAAAGAAACGGATAATTCTATTAATTTTGTTTATGCTTGTATATCTCCTAATTATAAATACGTATATTGTTTAGGAGATAACCAGAACTTATATTGTTTTAATTATAATACAAGCAAATTAGAAACACAAATAAAAATTCATGAAAAAGATTCATTAGGTATACTACATCATCAAAGTCAAAATTTGATGGCTTCTTGGGCACTTGATGGTACTTTAAATATAATACAATGAAAAAACAAAAATACATATATAAATGAAATATATTAAGGATAAATATAAATACAAAATTTAAAAACTATAAAATAATTAGTAAATGCATTTACATCTATAAAAAAGTATATATATATACTTGCATAAATACACATTTATATCAAATAATTTATAAGATACATAAGATAATTTATCTAAATATTTTTAAATATTATTAAATAAAGTTTTCTATGTTTAAAAAGTAACAATAAAAGGGTATTTATAATACCCCTAAGATTAAAAAGATAAAATTATATTTGATTAACATTTTATTTTTATTTTTACTAATTTGTCTTTTCGCAATAAAAATTTATTTTTTTTTTAATATTATAATCATGATTTATTTTTTTTTTTTTTTTTCTTTTTTCTTGTTTATATATTTCTTGAAAAAAAAAAAAAAAATATTTTTTTTTCACATTTTTCAATTATAAAAAGATACCATATATATGTATATATATGTGTTTTGTAGTAATTAAATTACAAAAATAAGGTAAAAAAATGTACGCATTTTAATTGAATTATATTCTACACTTTATCCATAAAAAATAATTATAAAAATAAAAAAAAATTTTAATAAATATGTAATTTTATATTCGATTTTTTTTTATTTATTTTATAAAATTTTTTTTTATCAAATACTATTTATGTTTACTTTTTATATGTTTAAAAATTTTTTATAATAAAAATATACAATCACTATTATTTTTTCAGTAAATTATAATTCTTTTTAAGTTTTTAATAGTTTAAGAATTTTTTAAAAAACATAACTTTTTAATTTCCTTTTAACTTGTTTTATACTATGTAATAATATTTTTTTTTTTTAGTTTCTCATATATATCTTCAGGTAATTTTTCTAGTATGTCATTTTTATATTTATCTATAAGTTTCATTTTTTCTTGATTTATTAATTCTTCATATTTTTTTTGTTCTTCTAAAAGTTTATTTTTCTCTATTTCTTCTTGTAATCTTTCGTTTTTTACTGCATTTTTTTTTTCTTGGAATGATTCGTATATTTCTTTTTTATATTGTTGTAATTTTTCTTTTTTTTTTTTATCCGTATATTGATCAAGCTTGTCTAATTTTTTCTTTTCTTCTAGTAATTCTATTTTCCTTTTTTCATCTTCTTCCTTTTCCTTTCTTCTTCTTTCTTCTTTTAAACTTATATCTTTTTCAAGTTGTTTAAGCATTTCATTTTTAAGTTGTAATTTCTTTTCGTTTTCTTTAATATCTTTCTGTTTTTCTTTGAAATCATGCTCTTCTATATATAATTTATTAAGTAATTCATCTAGTGCTTCTTTATCTTTATTTACAAGATATTCTTTATATGCTAGTTCATTAACTACTTTTTGTTTTTCTAAATTTTTTACTACTTTTTTTTTTAAAAAATCTTTAATTTTTTCCTCTTTTTCTTTTATGTATTCTTGATTTTTGATTTCTTCTTCTAATTCTTTCTTTTTATCTAATTCTCTTCTTTGATTCTTTAATTCTATTTGTTCTTGAAATTCTTTTAATAATTTTTTTTGTTTTTGTATTCCTTCTTCTTTTTTTTTTTTTTCTTCTTCCCTATAATTTTGCATTATGTTTTCCATTTTACTTCTTTCTTCTAAATTATTGGCATATTTCTCTTTTTTTTTTTTCAAATTTTCTTTAATTTGTTCTTGCAATTCTTTTTTAGTTTCCATAATCTTCTCATAATTTAATTTTTTTTTTTTTTCTTCCTCTTTCCCTTCTTTTATTAAAATGTTTTCCATTTGTTTTTCAATTTTTTCTTCTTCTTCTTGTTCCATTTTTGTTTTTAATAATTTTGCTTCCTTAATTTGATTTTCTCTTTCTTTTAATGTTGCTATTTCTTCTAATTTTTCTTTTAATTTTTTATAACCTTCATCGTTTTGCATTGTATGTTGCAAAGCTTTTTCTCTAAGTTTTTCATCAGCAATTTCTTTTTCTTCTTTTTGTTTTTCACTTAATAATTGACATTGTCTAATCTTTTCTTCTTTTATTTTTGTAATATCAAATTCATCTATTACTTCACATTCTCTTTTAACTGAATCTTCTATATTTTTTTTTTTAGCTGCTTCTGCCTTATCAATAGATATACCTTGTAATTTACTATAATTATCTAGCTTTAATTCATTTTTTATTCTTTCACGAGCATATTCATTTTTTTGCTCTCTTTGGATTTTTTCAGTAATTGATTTTTCATTGTATCGTTTCATTTAAATAAAATAATAGAAAAAAAAATAGAAATAAATAAAAGTTTTTTTTATTTTGATGAATATGAACTATACTAAAATTATAACTATTATCAAAAAAAAGAAAATATAGTAATTTTTATTATCATAGAAAAAATTATCTTTTTATTCTTTGAAATATAAAAAGAAAGAAACTCATAGAAAAAAACCTATAATTCCTAAAATTTTAGTAACTTAGATATAAGATAAAATAGAAGACTATTCAAAAAAAGAAAAAATTTTAAGAATTTCTAAAATAATAGAAGTAACTATATCAAATTCTAAGTGAATTAATTATGTGCCAAAACAAAAAAAAAAAAAAAAAAAAAAAAAAAATTAT